ATGGACCCGCGTCCAAATGTGGGCTTCCGCTGTCTCGAGACTGCGGACGGCACCAACGAATGGGACCGAACATGGCCTCCCAACGCAAGCGCGGAGCTGCGGCGAGTGAAGATGGCGATTCCCCCCTGGGGGCCTTCCGCCTGGGGGACCGAGGGCTGCTCCCAGGGTCGGCAGGGCGCCGTTCAGTGGACGGTGGAAGCATCCGTCAGGCGCGCCTATTGGGATGACGGGAATGGCCGCGAAAGCTGTCGGAGCGGTGCCGCGACGGGGCACCGAGACTGGACGTCGGATGGCAGATCCGCTGCGCGATCAGACGATTCCGGAGGCGGCATGAGCGCCGCGATCGGCCCCGCGGGGGACGGCGGGAGCAGGGGAGGCGTCCCGGGCAGGAGCCTGCCGGTGGCCATCAGGCAAGTGAGGGTGGCGGTCGCGACGCAAGCATGCGAGGACGCGTCGCCGCGCACGCCGCCCAACCAGCGGCTGCCGCCGATGTGCCAGAGGCAGTGCCCCCCCGCTCCGACCAGGAGGCGGCTGGCGGTCTCGGATCGGCTGACCCCCCGCGGGGGGCTGTGGAGTCTGGTGCGCAAGCCGGAGGCGCAGGTTTATGAGCTTGATGGTGACGACTTTGGCCAAGGCCAGGGCCGGGGCGCCAAGCGAGCGCGCAACGAGGCGCTGGAGCGGCTTTTGAGCATTGCCGTGTAGGCCGGCGCGGGCAGGAGTGGAGAGTGGGGAGAAAAGGGCGCCTGGGGAGGCCCGGGGCGCCCCGCAGGCCCAAACGCGAAGGTGCTGGGTGGGTTGTGTCATCAATTTGATGGTCGATGGACCGCGGGAGTTGTAGTGGGATTTGGCCAATGATGGCAGAACGCGTTTGTGGTGGAACCGTTTGGCAGGCTGTTCTCCCATCAATCTCTATAGGAGGACAGCGTTGTACCGTAGCAGGAGTTTTGGGACGGCGCTTGTACGGGTGGATAAAAGTGTACAGAGCGCCGTACATGCGAACAATTGCAGTCGTGTGGAGATAGCTGAAACAGCAGGATTTCATAAATGCTGATTATGCGTGAAATGTGGGTGTCTGTCGCTGTCCTGTCGCTGCTGGCCACCAACAGCAGAAGAGAACTGCAGCCCCATTTATTCTCTTGAATCTTTCGAGGGCTGGTGCAGCGAGTGGGAATAGGAGATTAGGGTTGGTCTTCCCGCGTCCCTTCAAGACGTGTCGGGCCTGCATGGAGATATTTGTCGAGAGGATTTTATTCTTTTCTATTCGCCTCGCTCACATGCCACTAAACCATGGTGCACCATCACAAGTGCCAATTTGTACATGTAATGCTGGTTTCGCTTGCGGATGAGGAGTTTCGACCTCTCAATTTGGAGGTCCATACACCCGGCACTGGTGCCATGCTCACGCCTTCGGCAATGATGTGGAGAGCATGAATTCCAGACACAACTGGACCACGATCGTTGCTCCCCGAGCTGGACGCTGCTGCCATGCCTGAGGGCTTTTTGAGCGATGTGATGATAATATTATCACCCATTAATGCACCCATTAATGGGCTGTTCCCAGTGTCGGCGCCGGCGGGTTGTCTGAGCATGGGTTGGCGGCGTGGGATGCACTCTCTGACAAAATATGGGCCAAGATTCAAGTCGTTACAAGCAACAACCGAGAACTGCGCACCATCCAGGCACGTGCGAACCCCCAATACCCATTTTTTGGGGTTTCTTTGCTGATTTCACATGGGGGGCGCACAAGAAGCAAAAAATAAATGGCCCAAAAACCCGAGCTATCATCGCAGAAAAAAGGAATTAACCAACGACACGAACAGCTACACTTCAGGCTAGACTTACTGCCAGTCTGTCCACAGGAAAACTACCTTCAACCGGGTTCCAACTCATGGCGCCCTCACAATAATTTCAGTCTCCCACGCTTAGAGCGCCACCTCACAGTGCCAGCTGTTTCGCACATGACAGATCTCCAACACACTAGCGGCCAAAGCACAGGATGACTCAGCGTCAGGACGTGTTCAAGTACAACTTTTCCCAGTTCCCAAGATCAAACCACTTGAGCGTGGAACACGCTTTTCATCGTCTTCTTTTTATATCAACATCTATGCCGTGTGGCTGCCTGTGCACGCACCCAACGCGTCAACGTATCTCCTGGTGCTGAAAAACGAAATGTGGCACGAAAGCCTCCAAATCGAGGCATGGGTTCGCTTCTTGGGGTCCCACTTCTCAATAGATATTAGCGCCTTTTCCATGAAATACAAAGAAACCTAGTCAGGCGTCGGTGTTTGCTGGCCCGACTCAGCCAACGGTTGCATTTGAGCGGAGCCGCAGGGCAGCGCGTCAGGGCATTCACATCTCGCTATCTGCCCGTATAACATCCGCCCACCGACTAGGCTTCTAAGTGCGCCATATATTCGATGTCTGGCGACCGCCCTCTCTGTCATGAAGCACAACAGTGTGACCGCTCGCACATGCTGTTCCCGACGGCCACATTTTCTTCCTACATGCACCTGACATTTTGTTCCTGGATTGTCGAAAATTGAAGATGGCTCATGCCGTAGTTCAGGCGAAACAAAACATGATTCAGTTCAAATTGAGCAATAACTATTGCATGAATTGCTGTTTTAAGTACGCCACCGTGTATGCCATTGTACGATGGAACATTCGCATGTGAATGTGGGCACGTTGATGGCCACAAGTCCCTGACATCGGGAATGCCGACAATGCGACTGCCAACCCTGGCGTCGCGGTGTCTGAATGGGTTGCCTCAGGTGAGTCTTTCGTCTGGGGGCCTGCTCTGGACATCAGCAATACCGCATATCAATAATTTAGATGGCCATGACAAGCGCACGAGCTGGTGCTACGTATATTCCAGAATTCAATGGATAGACTGTGAAATGCAGCATCAATGGCAGAAAATGACGAAGAACATGGCGTCGACGAAACACCAAGGACAGGGACACCACGTCACAATGGTCAATTGATGCACAGGACACCACCCCAGTGCGCCTGCCCGATACGCAGTCCTGATTTGCAGCATCTCATGACAGAGGCGCCGTGCGCTGCAAAAACAGCTGCCAAAACTCGCAATGTTTTAGGGTGAAATGCGAACTTGCCGGTTTGAGAGGGGAGCTAGGAATGCAACACAACGGTGCAGGTGTACGGCTCAAGATTGCAAAACGAACTTCTTGGCAGTTCTGTCGGGAAGCTTAGAGCAACGGGCATGAACGGACAAGATTGACCACGTGGAACCAGGGAACCAAAGGAGGCCATGGCAGACGGAGGTGTACCATTGAGGACCTTGTCGTTGATGCCAGAGGGAAGTGAACATCGTCAAAGGCCAAATATGTCATGTAACAAGCTGACAGCTATGCGCACAGCTGCAGACATGCGCTGAAGCCAATTACAGCCCAAGCACTGGACGCCTTAGCCCATCGATCAAACAATGAGTCAAGACGTCAACATGCTATGTGTCTGACTATGCAACGGTCGTTGTGAGCAAAGCCGTCAACTCTTCATGCACTATCAATCCGAAACAACGAGAGACTGATTCAGAGTGGGGTGAAGGAATATATAATGTAATTGCACTTCTATTCTTTTGTCTAGTATGATTTAGTTGTTATAATGAGCTTGACAGCCAGAATGGCCACATGGGCTGAGTGAACACCAGAGATGGCATTTGTTCGGCCATGTGCTGACGCGGATAGAAAGGTCATGGATGCGCTGGGTGATTACATCATGTCACTAGAATTGCCATGGCAGCAGCTGTGTAGAGCACGGCAACTTTTAATCGAATCTCAAGGGCCCAAGAGTAGGAGGCTGAAATGTCATTTTCCTTTTGAGCTGTGTCGCATATTGTGCAAGGATGATACAATTTATGCACAAAGATTATGTGGTCATTGTATTTAAAGTAGGGGACACCCGTTAGAAGAACGGACGGGCCAGGAGGGACTCTGAGGGATGCGAACTCCCAGAATTGATAGGGCTTTTGTGGACCAGATTAGATTTGATGTGCTGGCATGCTTGCGTTCAGGGTTGAACTTTGGTGTGGCTGCTGTGTCGCCCAGTTCTGTAGGGGATGCAGCTGAAGGAACAAAAGCTTGTGAAGTTGTAGGCACCTTGTCGGCGCTCTCTGTAGGTATGACCCCTGCACACAGGTCGCAGTGTGCAGCCTGACCACATTGGGTCCAAACCAACGGTTGGAGGTCCCACATGTTCGGATTTCGGCGTGGCGCACCCAGGTCGTTCCCATGTGGGCTCTGTCGGCACCTTTGTCCAGAATCCTTATGATTGTGGGCGCCTGCGTGCCCAAGGCGTCTGGGCTATTCGCGTCCAGGTTTCTAAGTCCGAATCGCCGGCGACATGCATGTAATGTGGCAGGACGCTCCCGATTTTGTTCCACATGTCACGCTCTTCAATCGTTCTGCGGCAAGAAACAGGTTAGAGCACACTGCATTCGGTGCTCTGCAAGATGAACATGCATGCCCATCGCAACAGTCCCCTTGCTGAGCAACGTCCTGTGCTGTGCTGCCAGTGTTTGCTGGATGGATGTTCGGACGAGCGGCCTGCTGAGGACGGACAACATCACAACCTGGGTAGGGATTCCACAGCGGGAGCGGCAGCCTAAAACGTATGTTGACAGTTTTGCAGTGACGGAAAATGGATTATCCATCCGCACGTGGCTGCATTGCATTGGCAGAGGCATGCTCTCCACGACTGCGGTGTGAAGAGAGTCACAACGGAGGAGGCCAAATATAGCAGTTACTCCCAGTGGCGTATGGCCACGCTCAGCCACAAGGTCGCCACCTTCCAAACCAAATGGTCACAGGGGTTGCCATCGTTGCACGGATGCCTGCATAAGTGGTTCCTTGTGAGCGCATAGAGGAATTCACACCAGCAACAAGCCTCGAGTAGCATGCTGTGGAAAGCAACCACTGAAACGACAAAAAAAAAAACACCTAAACAACTGCCGCAGCCACCGCCTTTCAGTACCAAGGCCTCTAGTACACCTCCACATGCCACGTGCCAGCCTCCTTGAGGTCCTTCAACCAGGTGTCGAAGTTCAGACCCCTCTTCTTGGCAACTCGCTGCAACATATCCGTGATGCCTGTCGCCACAAACAGCAAACATTAATCGCGCACGAGTTCGACAACAACAAGCAAACACGCCTTGGTTCAGGTGGGCAGTACTGTTGACCCATTGATGATATGATCATTCGATTCATCAAATGATTAGATGAGCTGAACTGTCGACAAATTTGGAGATCTATCAGCACAGGCTGTATATGAAACACTTCTAATGTCCGACACTCCAGGAAACTTGACTAACAGCAACAACACATAGACCGGCCCTAGATAGGCCACTCCCCAGATTGACCACCCCATGGTCAAACACACCACACCACAGGCAGTTGAGCGCAAGAACTTCATTAGTCTGGTCGATGCACAGCTGGTACCACGATCAATCCCTTCAATAGGCACATAAATTCCGGTTTGAGGCTCCAGAGCACATACTGGCATCTGGAGGAAACCATATATGGGAAGGTGGGGCTCAGGGGCTAGGTGATCACAGCCAAGGCAACGTCGAACCCTTTACTAAAAGGTGCAGGTGGAAAAACTCTTCCCTACCTGGCATCATCCCTTTCAGTCCGCAGAAGTAGATGTGGGCACCATCCGCCAGCAGGTCAAAGATTTGATCTGAGTACTCCTCAATCCTGTCCTGGATGTACATCTTGCCGCCACTCTTGTTCTGCTGCTCCCGAGAGAGCGCATAGTCTACTCTGAACTGGTCAGGGAAGTTCTGGACACATGTCTGGATTTCATCATCGTACAGTTTGGCATCGCTGTTGGCACATCCCATGAACAGCCACTGCAGACCTGTGTATTTGTATTGGGGCACGTTCTCAATGAATGCACGGCGCCAGAAGGCACGATAGGGGGCGATGCCAGTTCCAGTGGCGACCATGATGAGAACGGCGTTCTTGTCTTCAGGCATGAGCAGCACCTTGCCAGTGGGGCCTGCACAGGTGTGTGTGCAGATGCTATCACTTCAGCCTGCTCCCTGCCGGGTACTAGGCTGCTTTGCACTCGATGAAACAACAAGAAGGAAACCAAACCATTCAATGACAGCAACAACTCAGGGAAGACTTGTCTGTACTTATTCAAACACGGCACCTTGCTCAGAATGCACGGATCAAAACTGCCAAAAGGACACATGCATAACGCACACAATGCACCCTGTCGAAGTTTTTACCAGTGGATGAACATGCAGGCAATTTTCACCAAGACAGTGCTGGGAGGCTTGAAGATGTGTGCCTGTTGTTTCACTGTGGTAGCAGCCATGCAAACTCTCATATTAATCACATGCACACAAGGGTTTTAGCATACATGCTGCTCTTGCATCTACTGCCGAACAGCCACAATGCTGCAAATAATCTGACGGTATTGAAGCAAAAGCCCCAGTGCGATGGACGCACAACACAATATTTGCCTGCTGATATGTGCGTAGGGGCCACAGGCAGTGCCACAGGTCATGATCCCCATCCATCAAACCTGTTGGAGTTGATCTTGTGTTGATATATCAAATTATCACAAACCATGCCCTGAACTCCAAAAGTTGCTTGTGTTGTCCAAGTGTAGCATGCACACTTCTGATTCTACAAACACTCTTCTGGCAGGGGCTTGCCCAATGTATTCTTGAACACCTGGCGTGTACGCATCCCTGGCCAGCGTTGGATGTGTTGGTGCAGTGACATACAAACATACCAGTCATATTGACTTTTGTCCCCTTCTTCGCGTCACAAAGGAAGTTGGAGCAGATCCCCTTCTTTGATGGATCCTCCTTGCCAGTCTCCGGGTCTGTGTAGGTGGCCCGGCGCACGCACAGGGAGGTGGTCTGGCCATCGAAGCTGTCACCGTAACGGGTCGAGGCGATGGAGTACAGCCTGGTGCCAAGTGGAACCTCCTTGCCCTTGCTGTTGATCTTTGTTCCCTGGGGTGCATGGGTGCAACAGGTAGAATTGGCACAGGCACACTTAAACCCAACAAAGATGAAAACAAGCAATCGACTGACTGCCACAAAATAGGGTCGGTGCCCCCTCCCCTCTTTTGGTGCAATCGCCATCAAACCTGGCTGTCGAAAGAACCATTGGCACAAGTGCCTCTGCGACGATCTGCAGCAAGCAACGAGCTTTCGAATCCTGCACATGCCAACATGCTTGGGACACAGGCATTTCCCCAGTAGCCCCCATCCAAATCCGATGTCCAGAGCTTTGAGACAAAGGCAAACACCTCACGATTAGAGGGCCCACGCACCGGGGGTATAACGCCGTAGCTCTGGCCCTCCCAGAAGGGCATTTTGCCCTTCGTCCTGATCCTGATGTGGCACGTCTCCCCTGTGGCCTTCGGGCCCACGATCCGCTCCACGGAGATCACTTCCCCCACGAAGGGCTGCTTGTTCTTAAAGGTGTTCATCGGCAGGTCGCCATCCTCCAGCGACAGCGGCCGCACGGCCTTCTTGACGCCCGCGTCGGTGGCGACGGCCTGCATCACTACCCGCAGCTCGCGCGGCGCCTGGACGCGCGGGCGGGCGGCGCCCACAAGGGGCCGTCCAGCCATCTGCGCAGCGACACAGGCGACGCGTCAGCCTTTGGCCTGCGCCCGTGTTGAATGGCCGCGCCCTTCCCCACGCCTGAATGGGCATCGCGCTTCTGTCGCACCAAAGGGGAAACGACGACCGATTGCGCGATGGGAAGAGAGTCCATGGATGGTGCTGGATCGGGAGTCCTCAAACTGCTCGGCAAGGCGCCGTGGGCGCGCAGTCCCACTCGGCAGCGCCGGTGAAAGCCATCGCTGGGCGACAGTTGGTCCAAGTGCCCCGTCAGTGTTCGCTTTTCTGTCACGAAAGGAGCTGAAGGTGCTCGTTGCGAGCCGATTGAGCACGAGGCAAGGTGCGGTTGGCTCTGGGCCTCCGGACAGCGCCCACGGGCCACGATGCTCCCGTGACAAATGCCCCCGGCCATGGTGGAATGGCGCTCCGCACAGCTACGGTTCAAGTCTGAAGAACATCCTGGGAGCTTCGGGCACGGTTGGTTGCTCAGGCGCACCCAGAATCTCGACAGGAAGGCACAGGCTGCTGACGGAGCAAGAGTTTGGTTGGGCGATCCCCATCTCGGCTCCGCCGACTGGCGATGCAGAGCACGGTGATCGCAAAACAATCACCGCTGGTCCTCCACCCGCCGTTGCGATTGCCATCATCAATGAACACTATAGCGCCCCTGGGCATCACCCACATTGGGGAGACGCACAAATGCTCACCACTTGCGACTGGGACAAAACGCCCGGAGCAGCCACCTGGCATGCAGACACAGTTTCAGTCACTGGCGTCGGCTGGCGGCACACGATCTGCAAACGAGTCGGCAGGCAGCCCGCCACGGCGCGCACCTGGCTAGCCATGCCGCTTGCGTCTGGGGTCAAGACGAGGGGAGGCGACCGTCGCGCGGACCTCTGGGGCCGTTCCACCGGGCGACGCTGGCAGCGTGGGCAGAGATTGGGACTGGCTGGGCCACCAGGGAACAGAGTCCTGGAACCACAGATCGAGCTGACGTCAGCGTGCAGCCGTGCCACGGGTTTTGCTTTTTGTGGTTTTAAATCTCGGGGGGCCTTGCCCACCCGTTGTTAACGAAGCTTCACCTTTTCGGTTTATCAATCGGGACGGGATGGCGCACTCAGGGCGCTGGACCAAGTCTCATTCAGTCACACTCTTCTTTCCGTGGCACTCTTGAAAGCCCTCACACCGGTTTGCCAAATGTCTCTCCTTACATTAAAAATCAAGCCAAATATCTTGGGAAGAGGTGGGCGGGAGCGAAAAACGAGATAGCCACAAACTCGTTTCGCCAACCTTAAGTCCCAAGTTCCCCGTTTGCCCAGATCACTGTGAACCAGTTTTTCCACTGGTGCAAACAGCCGCTCAGTTCGGTTCCTGGGCTTTATAACCAACCGCGACTGGTTCGCCCAGTCGCTGCCCATAACTTGACCACAACTTCAAGAGTTGCGCCAAACACTTTCTCACTGAGCTTATGCTTTCCAAGTTTGAGAAACGGCAGCGCCATCCATTCTAACTCCAAGTGCGCCAAGTACTAAAACCTTTGCCTGCCGTTCAAAGGTTCCCACCCAACGGCCCTGATCCCGATTTAAACCTATTCACTGCATTACATTTCGTAAATCTTGCTTCTTGTGTCTCAGGGGGGGGGAAGACTTTGGAAAATGGCACCGAAATCGAGGAAGGGAACAAAGAACCAAGCCAGCCTCGAGCATGTGTGGGGAGAGCACGCAGGGCGCCCATCAACACCGACAGTACGATGTGGCTGCCAGCATCGCCATGATTGAATTATATCTTGTGAGCATTACTTCCAATGCAACACAGAATGAAACATGCCCTTTGAGTTCCAACGACGAGCCGTTCACATTGCGCCAGAGGGGAGCACGTTCACAAAGCAAGAGGGACCAAATTCGACGGAACAAGGATCAAACTCCAGGTCGGAAGATGGCAGGAGGCACCCTGTTGGACTAAAGAAAAGGCGGACTTGTGAGTCCAGCCACCATGCCGATTCTGACACCATATAGCGACCATGTTGCACCGCCTAGGCGCACGATGACTCGGCGCACTTTGGGGTCGGCGGATGCCTCCCTAATGTGGAGACCGCCCAACGACCACCGGTACCTTGTTTGCTCTCCCGCCCGCTCAGACGTTTGAGGGTTAACCCAGGAGTGGGCTTTCGGTTGGAATGGCGGAATCTTTGAAGTGTTAAGTACTGGGAAGTAGCGCTTTCGTTTGGAATGCAAAGCATGGGCAAACTTTGTGTGATGGTCACTGGCCCTTGTTTGGATAACGATCGCCTGCTAGGGAGAGATTGTAATGCACTTGGCCAATGTAAACTCGGGCGGGAAGAGTATCCCGTGAGGCAGAAATGAGTGAACTTGCGCAAGTCTATGTGGCTTCCGTCGGGTCCCTTGTCCAGAATCCTTAGGATTGTATGGGCCTAGGAGTCGAAGGGCCCTGGGCTGTGCGTGCCCGGCTTTTCTTGGCTGAATCGCCAGCGACATGCGTGGCCGAAAAGTGGAGTATGCAGTGGGCCAGTCGCAGTGTTGCAAGTGGCAGAATGCATTTGTACCTAACTGAAACTTAATCAGTACTTTCCTGTGACATTTAATCGTGATGAGGTACTTATTCACGATCAATTCACGATGCCATATGCCCTTTCCGAAAACATTTTTGACGATGGTCCAGTAGCCATGGCGACATAGCCCTGCACAGTTAGAAGTTAGCGTTGCCAAACACAAGTACAACAGCATGTCCAGATTTTCGAAGACAGGTCCGAAAACCATCGTATATTATTCAGACTGCTATCCAGAGTTGATACGCTTTCAGAACACATTGCTGTACCCCAAATAAGCCTAAAACTACGGGGAGTCTATATCAGAATGGACGCAACAGCTTCCCATGCAATTGAAAATCACCAGACCTAGTGATATAAACGCGGATGCATTGCTCTCCATCATGCACTAGGACAAAAAGGGTCAAATAAATAATGTTCAAACGTGTACAAAATTTTATGATTTGGATTATTTTCGTGCTTTTAGCATGCAGGACACTGATGAAGTGCATACATATGTGTTCGCAGAACGTGTTGTCTGGTCCTTTTTCTGCTAATGATGCTCTCGCTCAATATAATCAAGAACTAAGCCAGCACAGGGTCGCTCATGATCGACATTACACGATTTTGTGGACGCCGCATTTGTTTGTATCCATTCCCTGACACCTCCGTCTGCGTGATATTTTCTGAGTTCCCTGCATGGCGGAATTCTCTGTTTTCCCTCAATTTGAAGTCAGTAGAAACGTGGCCCCATGCCTCATCGAATTTCATCTTCATCTTCGCAGCCCTGCAAAGGCGAAGCTGGAAACTTCAATCAGAAATTAATGGTTTCAGATACCATGAAATGCTTGGGCACTGCTGGACATGGAATTGAAACGCATGCAAAATCGCTGTTGTTGCAATTCATGCCGTCAAAGCAACAGCAAAATGCATCCCCCTGTGCTAAAGCTTGGTTTGCTGCATGTGCACACTGGCAGTTTGGACGAAAATTGATGCCACAGTGTGTCTACAATATCATTGATGCAACGCCAACCAAGTGTGCAGCAAGACCAGTGCATCATTGGCGCAACGCTGGCACACGTATCGAAGCTTCTCAATATCGATGTGCGGGCATTGATGAAGCGTTGCGGGGCAGTGGTGGGCATAGGCGGCTGAAGCGGGAACGCGAACGTGTCCAGTACTTTTGGCTTTCCGAAGCGGAAACGCGAACGTGTGCAAGCCGTTCGGATTTGAAAACGGAAATGCAAACGTGCGCCCCACGTTTGAGTTGTGGAAACGTGAACGCCGACGCCCAGTGGGCGATTGCGATTGCAATGCTTCCAATGAAACGGGAATTCAACTCATCACCCACCGGGGTGGCGAGCGCCAAGGCAACGCCCACGATATGTTTGACCTTTCGGAATGGGAACGCGGACGTGTACCGTATGTTTGAGCTTTTGAAACGGAAACGCAAATGTGTGCCTCACGTTTGGTCTTCCAAAACGGGAGCGCAGACGTGTATTGTATTTTGGATTCTGCAGACGGGAACACAAACGCGTAATTCACGTTACGTTGGCGCTTCGGCCCAAACGAAACGTAAACGTGAACATCACGTTCGTTTGTGGCCACCACCCTTGCGTGGCATTGCACCAATGCCAATTAAGTGACAATATCGCATCGATGTGTAGCTTTTTCCACAGATCCACCTGTCGCAACATTTGCTCCATTGCGCATTGCACCAGAAACCAAGGAACCGGCGGAATAACCGGCGACAGACGCACGAGAAACATTTTTGGACTGAATGATAGTCTTACGCAATTCCGCCAATGAGGCGAAACAATTTTTGCCAGTTGGGAGACTACATTTGTTACACCAAAAGACAGTTTCCAGCAAGATGCTGCATGTGCAGAAGGTAATATGTGCTATTACGCAGAGCACTGATATCATTGGCACGCCGAAATATTACGCCACCCACCTGCAGCTCCCGGGCAAGATCTTTCACGAGAGGCTGCCAGATGCGCACCCTTGCATTGATGAACCAGTTTGAAACCTGCATGCCCCCATCAACACTTGAGAATGGTCCAACCGTAATGCAGAACAGGTGCGCTAACAGCAACTTCCCCACGCAGGTCGCATCGCGCTCCATAGAGAATGGATTTTTAGAGTTTGGTAATGCCATAGGAAGTGCTGAGGCATCGTGTGCAGTCAGTAGGCACACACACCCGTTGCCGCGCTTTCGGTACTGACATCGGGGAACAATCGCCATATGGCTCATCGCCGACAAAATGCCCGCTCTGGCCCGTTTTGAGCAAATCACCCCAAGTTCAAACTGCCTTCAATTGCTGAACACCTTCCTTCAATAGCTTACTGGGGTGCTTCATTCAATACGCAACGGATCACACGTTCAGACACCAGTAGGTTCCGGCACCAATCATGCGTACATTATGCACCAAATTGCGCCTTTCATCAGCGCTTCAAAATGTTCTTCGTACACTAGGAAAAAAAGGGCCAAATAACACTTTTGCAAACACATATAAAACACATTTCATCAACGTTCTGCACGCTAAGAACACAAAAATAACACAAACCCGTAAACTTTGTACACGTTTGAACACGGGTTATTTGGCCCTTTTTCCCCTAGTGGTAGCTGCCTTGCGCGATAATTTTATAATTCGATAATGGAGGCAAGAGCCGCAAATAAGCGCGTTTCCGCTGACCCAGGACCTTATTCTAAAGATTGACATAGCCCAGTAGTTCACGAAATGCGATCGCCTCTGCTTAAATGACAGAGCAGCCTTGCTTTTTACGCCATAAAACTAATCGTATATACGTGTTTACGCGTAAAACTAGTTTTTATGTTTTTACCTGTAAAACTGCGTAAAAATACGTAAATACAACGTAAAAACTTCCCGTTGTACATAAGGACAGTACGTGAAGACTTACGGAGTCCGGAGAGTGGCAGCTGGACGCTGTGGAAGGGGCAGAAAATGAGTTTTTGTTAAACGCCATCATCGCCCTTGCCGAGGGCGAGGTGGACATTGTGTTGCGGGTGCTGAAGGTGGCGGAGGATTGACCATTGTACGCAACCTTTCATCGTGTAACCTGGGTGTCCCAGGGAGCCGCAAAAACGTAAAAATAGCCGTAAAAAAAGGCCCTTTTGCAAATTTACGTTTTTGCGCGTAAAAACGCAAAAGCGAAAATGTAAACGTCAACGTAAAAACCAAGCCTGCGACAGAGATCAATCCGAGCGCACGCTCATGGGTGTCATAGCCAGTCGCTTGCCTGCTTCGGGCTCATTCCCGTTGTGCGCGCCAACATCTCCTTTTCTTCGGGGGTCGGATACGGATGCACAAAATGCTGCATCATCCAATGGCGCAGTAGCGCCACGGGGCCGGCTCCAGGGGTCCAGCCGTCTTCCTGTGATGTTTGGTTGCCATCTCGGTGCATACTGTTTCCATTGTCGTCACACGGAGCGTCGGGAAGACGCAGCAAGGCTGCCGTCGCGTTGGCCATAACCGCCATCCTGCAGAAGACACAGTCGAAATTGGGCCCTTCCAACTGCAGCCAGAATTGGCTGAGAAACGCAGGATTCTATGAATGTAAATATCAGTTCTCAGATGGAAATTTTGACCTTCCACATGGCAGACAAAGTAGTAAACCAAAAGCCTCCACGACAGCTTTTACTTCGAATTGGGCTTGTTATTTACGGCGCAAAAACTTTCTATTTATGGGTGTTGACGCGTAAGCATGGTTTTTCCGTTTTTGCTCCTAAACTGCCGTCAAAGTGGGTAAAAATAGGCAGCGTGTACATCAAGCCAGTAATTGCAGGCTCCGTGATTCCGGAGAATGGCATCTAGATGCGCTGGAGTGGGAAGAAAAAAACCTTTCTTCGACGACGACGTTAAACCTTGCCGACGGCGAGGTGGACGCTGTGCTGCGGGAATGATCATTGATTGGAACATAATCGTGTGAGCTCGATGCGGCCGATGAGCCGTAAAATGGGTAACTATGGCAGCAAAATGGCCAATTCTCCATTTACGCAATCTTACGCACCAAAACGTAAAAGCGAAATTGGTGCCGTAAGCGTAAATAAGAAGCCTGCTTTGAAATAAGAGCTGTCTCAGGAATTACTGGGAACGATAAACACCAAACTGAACACCCACCGCAACCTCCTTTCCCAATGGTTCATGGCCATAGGCCTTTCTGTAGTTGGTGGGCTCATCGATGATGCCAATAGTAATAGGGGCGCTGAAGTCACGTCTAATCATTGTTGGTATTAGTGCCCACGAACTGTTGCAACACATCCCTTTTGTAGCCATTTATGTTTGAGGCGAGCGCCTGGGAGGTGCTTTTGAAAAGGAACAAATTGAAGTCGCGTCTCTTCGCACACTCCAAAAGTTTAATTTGAACCTCGCTGCCACCTGTGTCTCAGACGCATTGGGAACACCACAGGAGGTAACGTGGGGCCCCCCGTGCCAAGCACCGCACTGCTGTCGTTGCTCAGAGTTTCCATGGCCGGTAGACTCTGCTTCCACCACCCTTCCATGTTGGTCAAAACCTCCGTCAGCTGATGCTTCTGAGCAAACCACACTCTCAATGAGTATTCCTTACATGCCGCAGTCTGATGAAACCTAAAGCCTCGAAAATGGTTTGAGAAACAACACTGACCACTCCCCCTCTCACTGAATTAGAAGAATGTGCCAAGCGATGCCGCCAAACAACTCGCCGTCTGTTCATGGCGTACATGGTTACAACAGAAACTTCCTTTTATCATTGATGTGCATTGATGCCCGGGTAGCAGTGGATAGCTGGGTCATGATAGACGCTCGCTTGGCCTGCATTTCTGGCAACATACCAAACATGATGCATCGGCTTAAATCATAAAAACTGAGTTAATCCAGGAACGCACATCCTGCGCGTATTCCCAGAAAATTCGCGATACGTATCATCATGAAATCGCCGACACCATTACCTGCGCTTTTGAAAGGAACATTGGAGATCCGAGTGAAGACATAAATAGCTGCACCTCATCTTCGGAGGGTTGATTCGATTTAGGGTACTCCGTCCCATCATCGATCCCAACGGTGTGTTGCAGAATTGCCTGGTTCACTGCATAGCGCCACCTGGTGTTACAAACAATGAAAAGTAAGTGGAGCGACCTCGCACGCATGCTCGCCCTCCCTTTGCGCGTCATGAAATCATCGAAAACGCGCATCTGGCGCATCGAGCCACAGTGGACGCAGCCAGCGCAAAGTGAATAATTCTACAGCTGCTACGTCACCCTAGTTATATATGATAATTCGTGCTTGCGCTGCTTCCTTGCTTTTGTGGTTTAAATTGTTATCTATGATTCGAAATTTGTGCTGAGCTCTTAGCGGCCCTGCTGTCAACTGTGGCTTGTTGGCCTTTCCAAAATGCTGTTTGTTAGTTGAAGATGCTGTGGAACCACAAAGGGTAAACGGACACTATCCTAAAGGGATCTTTCATGAAACAAGTTTCATCTGCCCCACCCGGCCATACTGAGGAGAGCCATTCGCCACGAAACAAGAGAGTTTCCAATGGAAAACGGCAGGCGGGACACGTGCGCCGACCACATCAGTGCCCCCCTCCCTTGGAGCGCCATATACCAATGCGGTGCACAATACAAGCATGCATTTTGAACCTTACACCTCTTACATGTCTATTGCCGCAATTTGACATGGTCAAGCTGCAGGAACAGTGCGACTTCGAGTCCATTGTCGGTGACCCACCTGCCCGAGTTATCCTGTCTATGCTGCTGGATTTGGCCCAGAGGCATTGACGTGGACGCAGCCGCTTGTGGGATGAGGCCGCCGCTGTCGACAACGTATCCTGCGCGAACTGTGCGTGCAAAAACAGCATCATTCTTCAGTCAAAGTGGCCCAACAATGCAAATGGATATTCCCTTTTTCAGAATGGCTTCCCATGCACGGAAGACGTTGGAGCACACGCAAATGGCGTACATCGAAACTTTCCTTAACAACAGCATCGCGTTGTTCCCGTCGTGCGAGCTGGCATTGGCTCGCGACTCTACTTGTCATTGACCTAATATATTTCCATGAAGATTTTGCGCTTTAATCTGTGGACTGCCAGCGCGGAAGGTGCAATCCGGTACGCTTCAACAACGGAACTCCAGACCGTCCTTATCAAACTGGGGATGATCAGGGAGGGAATTTTGCCGTTGCCCATCTTGCGACCGTCTGGTAGGCAACGCCGCACAGCCGCTTCTATCACGTCAGAGCTGACTGGGCTTGCTGCCATTGCTGCCAGCGTCAATCAGCGCTGCAACGCTCGCAATCGACGGGGTAGGGAGTGGTAAATCCACCGAGCGACGCCACATGCACTCGCTCCCCACTAACATTTTCCACTTGCAAACTTTTTCCTCAACTCCCCAACCACGCACTCCTTGAAACCCAATTCCGCAATCGGATTTTTCAGAAGCGTGACACGCGCGCGGCCTCGCCGTGACTAACCGCATTCGTACCTGTCGGATCAGCGGGACCATGGGGCGCCTTGTCGCCGGGCGGACACGGGCGCCCGTACGCGACGCCTGACCCGTCCTCGCGGAGCATGGCGCCGTCGCCGCGGAGGCCGCGCGCGGGCGTCAGCAGCGAGGGCGTCGTCAGCAGGTGCGCTTCCAGCGGCTCCATCGGCTTCGGATTCTCCATGGCGGCCTGCGCCACCTCAGAAAAGTTCTCTGCCCGGCCGTCGCGGAACGACACGATCTAATCGCGCCCACTGGACACATTGCACGAATTGCGACTCTCGTCGCTGAGGGGTACTTTGGGGATGCGCCCAATGCGATTTGGCGCGCAGGGGGCTCGCCGTGCGCCGTTCCCGGGAATGGCTCCCCGCGCCCTTGATGTGACCGTTCCGTACGCCGGCAAGCATGTCGCCAGGGAGCTGCACCGGACGCGCATGGGGGGGAATTGCGCGGCGACATGGCGACTGGTGTTCCAGCAGTCGCCGGATCGCGCCCTTTGGGACAGCATGAGCGGAATTTGCGAAACGCGCTCGAACGCTGAACGCATGCGCTCGCTGTACAGCGATACGGCACACGAGCTCGTGTGCGCTCGAGGGCGCTGCGCCGCTGCTGAACCTCACCTTGGGTCGGGAAAGGACGGCCACGCCGTGCAATGCCGCGTTAGACGACCCACGCTCGGTGCCCCTCCGGACTTGCACCGTTCGATGATCGCCGGTCCGCGTGCTGGCGACGCTGCTTCTGGTTTCTGGCGCAACCGGAGGCACAGGACCGAGGGGTCACGTCCCCCAATCACACGGGTGGTGCGATCTGGCAAGGTACAACGTCGAGCCGCAAGTAGCGCGTCCGCATTGTCCCCTCCATTGCGGTGGCGGTGATGGCGACGGCGTGGACGAACACCTTGTGGGCCACTGTGTTGTACAGCTTCTGTCCCGGTACTGAAGCTGTAACGATATCATTACTCACGGTGGGCACCGTGTGCGCTATTCGAACTCCACACAACGCTATCGATGACGTGGACCAGCAATACCGTGCCGTCTGACAACAACTGAAACCATAGCCGAATCTCGGTTCATCGGGCCAGAGCAATCTATGGGACCTGGGGTACGGGACATTGGTTTCATGGGGCATCCACGCGGCGGCACAGGTTTCTTGGGTGAACTCCAAACCCACATTCTGCACCAATCCAACAGCTCACAGCATTCAATGTGTTGTCCATTTAGACGGCCACACAGTGGTAGCACCATTCTTGTCATGATTGTCGACTCGAAATCCATATTGGAAGACAGACTGATCGCTTTTCCTCATGCTTCTTGTTACCAATTCCTTCCAAACAAGCATAAGCCAATTTAAAATGGGAGCTCTAACTGAGAGTTTTCATACATTCACAATCCATAATGTACCCAATTGCTCACGCCATGCCGTGAAGCTCCCCGGCTAGTACGTGATGTTCAAGGAAACTGCCGGCTCATCATGTTTATCTCACTCCATGCTATAACCAATATGACTGAGAATGTTGTGCCTTTCATTGCATTTGAACCGCCTCCAGATGGCACTTGTCCATTTGGGTGAAGATGTGACCTTAACTTCCATAACCTACAATTTGTATCTTCAAGCTTACTATATCCTCCTTAGTTTCGTTGCCAAGAACAATCCTAGAAGGGAGAACACCACATCGCTACATTTACAACAAAAGTGCATTTCCACATTCACCACCCCTTGCCCTTTCGTCTCCACTCTTTTTAATGTGTTAATGAATATCTTATCACAAACGATGCCTTTTGTGCCATGCTCTTTTTGGAGATGCCAAAAGCGTTAAGTACCTCTTGGAATTGCACCAATGCAAAGATGTTACCATAACTAAGGTCGGCCAGGCGAGCAAAGGTGTGTGCCAAGTCTAGTCACCCACAATGGTATGAGTGACCAGACCAGTCCTGTCACCCGTACCGACCTAGACCAACACCCGCCACTGGATCAAATTGAACCACATTAGTGCGAGTTCACCAGATTGCTGGTCCGTAATAGCAGTACGCCGCATCTACATTATGTACCAGCCGTATACGCATCCACTGGACCGTTGGTATGGGTCATTGAACCAATGGCATGGACCCATACCTTTGCTTCAGTTTTTGACAAGTGGGTATGTTCAGAATAATATTATGGATTGATCAAAAATTTGACAGCACAAGCTAGCCATAAATAGTAGCATTGTGATAGCTTTTGCAAAATTCCAATATGTTTTAGTAGGTTTTTGAAGGCCAGAAAATTGCCATTGCCATACCAAATCAGGTACGGGTCTGGACCAACTAGTCCAGTACCCATACCAATTGGTCCAGTTGGACTTGTGTCTAGGTCAGGTATGGCAACCGCACCTATGAGATTGGTCTTATCTGGTCCGGGACCCATACCTAAACCGGACCTGCACCTAGCAAATGGTGGTCTGAGCACACCTCTGCAGGTCACAGTCATTCCACTGCTAGAGTGATAGGTCTCCCAATTCTACCAATGCAGGCATCTACATTGGCCAAGCGCAATTGGCTACTTTGGGATGCAAATTACAGAGCCATGTGCATATAGATATATGAGCCATGTTGGCCATATGCCGCACACGAAAAATTCACATTGGCACCATATGCTCAATATTCAATGCGAGTTGCATGCATGAATACTTGTGCACTCAGTGACCAAAGTTTCAATGCAATATTGGTTGCAATTGACTTGCGATGGAACTGGACTCCACCATTCTCAAAGCTCCATTGCAAAACTAGAGTTGGTGAAATTGCATATTTCTTTTTGAAGCAGATGCGAGGATTTTATATTAATGATTTCATGAAATACGCTTTGGTAAATTGAAGATTTGTGGTCACAACATTTTGTATCGGTTATGTCAAAATTTAAGTTAGTTATATTGGGAATTAAGTCTATACATGAGCAGCCACTCGGGTCACAGAATTGCATGGGCAATGCGTTTCCATACGTCACACTGCATTGGTGGTCCAATGACTACCGATGACTGCAAACATGGGCCCGCATGGCGCAAAGTGGTGCCATCCGGCGGGGTGCCAATGTGGCATCGCATTACTACATATTGGTATACAGAACCGTGGGCATCGTCCCCAACGCATTTCAAATGGGGCTGAACGGGAGCCCATGACGTGGGGCGCCCATCGCGAGGGCTGGCAATGGTAGGCGTGGGGATGCCTTCACACTGGTCACTGCGTGGGGCACATCACATTTCCGGCGGCGGAGGCCACCGGCGGGGCATGTCGAGCACCCCGTGGGGCTATGCCCCGGGGCCGGTGCAGCCCCACGTTGGTGGACGTCCAACCGCGCATTGGGGGGTAGCTACGTGGGAACTACATGGGCTTGCATCAGCAGCCCTGGTGGCCCGATAGGCAAGGTTTGCATCCAAGGCCGACGACATGCATGGGGCGGCCCCCGCCTGCAGATGCAGGGGCCTACCTCAGTAGCGATGGTGGCCCCATGGGGGTGGCCCGTGTCCAGGACCGATGACGTGTGTGGGGCGGTCCCCACTTGCAGATGCTTTGGGAATATTCCCGGCATGGGATCGCATGGAAGTTCCTGCGCTCATGGGAGGGAATCGTGGCAGGCGTTGTGCGGCTGATGGGCACCCTGCGTCTGGGTGCATTTCAGGGACCGCTTTAGGGGGGCTGGTTGCCTCGCCGCTGCTCTGCATGCGCGCTATCCCATGGCTGCCCGTGTACCTATGTGTTTCTGTTGGCTTCCCCGGAGTTATTTCTGTGTACGACGTGTGAACCCTTCAAGGATTGCGGTTCTTCATCAATGTGGGCCCACTATCCCCTGCAATCCTGACCGTGAACGACCATGCAGTCCGTACTCCAACGCTTAGCTATGGCACATAGGTTTACAGGTCGGTTCTTGCAACAGCGCGGGCCCCAACTCTGCATACCCCACATGGTCAAACGCCCAATTAGACCATTCCTTCTCCCTGAAGATTCCTGCAAAGGCAGTGCGTTGCTGAGCTTTGCCGACCACAGACCACACTAGGACTGGGCAAAAATGTCGAGCCTGGAACAAGCATCGGCCAATCCACCAGCTTTGCACCTCGTCGACCAGTTTCCTTGACAAATCCGCCAGGCTCCAATCGCTCGCCGGCCTCCGCCTTTGCTGCTGGCGCCCATCACCACCACCGTTGAGCACACAAACGCCCGTGTTGGTGCCCAGTGGTGCACCACAACAGCCCCTCCCCTGTAGTTCTCACCACTGAGTTGACACTTTCCTAGGGTGGCATGTTCCCAGATCCCCCCCCCCCCTTCCTCTTCCCTTTTCTCTAGCTTCATCGCTTCCTCAGTGGCACACGGGGTCCTCCTTCTGCCCCCAACCCCAACACCCTTCTTCTATATGTCCCCCTTCCTCCTCTCTTGTCTTTTGTGGTGTAGCCAGCCAGCTCTGGTGGAATCCTGCTCCTCCTGCTCCTTCTCCTCTTAGTGCTCGTCTTAGCCCAGACTAGAGGTGGCCATTCAACATGCCATCCGCTTCGTTAAATCCGGTTCGTTAATTTTTATCAGCTGTTCGTTAAATTCCGTTGCAAAAAAAGGGAGAAAAATTCAGAAAAAACGAAAAAAATCCAAAAAAATCGAAAAAAAACCCAAAAAATCACAACAACTGCGGCTAGTTAAAAATCTAGTATGCATAGGTTGAAATAAAATACAAACATGCTCTCTAATAGCGAATTCTATAAACTATAAGTATGAAAAAACCCCAAAAATCCCCAAAAAATCCAAAAATCCGTTAATTTTTGGTTAATTTTTGTCTTTTTTCGTTATTTTCCGTTAATTAACGGATTAATTAACGGAATTAACCTCTGTCCGTTATTAACGGATCCGGGTGGCCACCTCTAGCCCAGACTATGCCATCTTGAAGCTATCTTGAAGCTGGTTATGGCAGCTGGGCAGTGATACGAAAAGATTATGGGTGTGTGGCTCTTGCCCTCTTTGAGCCGCGGACCCGCCTCGCCGGGCACCTAGGTCCTTACGGGGACCTAGGCGGGACCACCCCTCCTACTCCCGTATCCTAATAGCTAGAACGGTTACGGTGGGTTGAGGATTAGGTATCTTGGGCAGGGCGTCCCCCACACCAAGGGCCGTTAGTAAGGCGTCCCCTACTTCAGGCCCCTGCGCGTAACATTCATCCCCCTCAGGGAGA